ATTTCTTATTTTTAAAGCCATCTCGAGAATCTTCTCTTTAACTTGAATGTCGACTTTTACGTGGACCGCTCCATCCCGCACCTGTCCGCTTTATTCCACTGAGATGTGAAACGGAGATGAAGGCCATCCACTGCTTTTTCTTTTTGCGCCTCATCTGCTCGGCCTATGCAAAAAAAAATCATCTCAGTATTTGAACCAGTCCAGAAGAACCGGGTCAGATACAACTCTATAAAGACAGTGTAAGCACAGAGCTCAGATACAGTCGCAGTTACAAAAGTGTTTGTAAAAACTTCTCCCATTTTGTCACATAACACCCACAAATTTAAATTTAGTTGACTGAAATTTTGTATTTGTAGAAGACCGACATAAAGTAGCATACGATCGTGAAGATCATAGTTTATACAAAGCGTGGTATTTGCATTCAGCCCTCTAGAGTCAACACTTCGAAGATTTTGCAACTGAAAAGTGATTGAAATTTGCAACAAAAATGAAGTTCATTCAATTATCAACCATTACTCCAGATTCCCAGTTGGACTCTGTGCCTTTCTAACACATGAAGAAATATTTTATAAAATAATCCCAACCATTCCATTTTCATGTTATTGTCCTGCTGGAAGGTGAACCTGAGCTGCAGTTTCAATATTCAGCAGCTGCTAACAGGTTTTCTGTTCCTGTTTTTTAGCTTCATGTATTTCACATCAAATTCTATGTCCCCATTGAAGAAAAAGCATAACCACATCATGATGCTGCCATTATCTTGGTTCCTGGTTGCCTCGAGGTTTTTTTTCCACCTGTCGTATGTGGGCCAACAATTTTAATCTTGCTCTGGTTTGACGGACTCACCTTGTTCCACCTCCTTGCTGCTTCCTGTCTGGTCTGTCTCCAACTGAGCTTCTGTTTTCAGGGTTTTTACTTTTTCTTAAAGTCTGCCTGCCGTGTTCCCTGGTTTCCATCAAACACCTGGAGCCTTCACAGAACAGCGTTGTTGAGATTTGCTGATTAATTGCCTTCTGGTGACTGTTGATCACACTAGTTTTTATTTCGGGGTATCTGCTTGAAGGGGGCCGAATGCAAATTCCTTTCTCTTTACAATTCTGTATGACTTTGTTGGTTTTTCCCTGAGAAGGTGTCAGACCAGTCAGGGTTTAATGTGACAAAATGTGAAAGCTTTTAGGACTTACTAACACTCAAGAGTGTTTTCTGTTGGATTTCAATCGGGGCTAATCTTCATTTACCTCTCTGAACATCAAGATTTTCTAGTTGTTTTTGTTTCTTAGGATTTTGTGCACTACAAAGCACACACTTGACACACTATTGAGCAGTTAGGACAAACACCTCATCTCACTTCTTCCATGCATGGATTTATTTCTCGTTTCTCAGAACGGTACATACATGTGGAAATCATCTCAAGTATTAGCTTTAAACACCGGTGTCTATAGGTTCCTGTATGACTGAATCGGTTCAGACATTTTGAAGGCGGGGAGGAGGAGGAAGGAGGAGAAGGAGCAGCTGGAACGACTTCACTACATAAGGTCAATCCTGTTGCTTGCTTTTGTTTTTGTGGACGTTGGACTGCAAGTCCCGCCAGCATTCCAGCTGTGATCAGTATTTCAGACCCATCGCGTCGTTTCATCCTAAACTCCTCTGTATCCTCTCCTCCGGGTTCAGTGAACTTTTTTTTGGAAACGGAACCAAACAAGACCCAAAAGTGCAAAAAGAAAGAAAAAGGAAAAAAAAAAAAATCCCACCTCACCTGCATACGTCTTCTCTTTTATCCGTCCCAGTTATTTAAATTCTCTCACCTCTTCAAAGGATCGATCTTTTTATTATTTTCTCTTTCCGCCTGAGGGAATGCAATACACGACCGGCCCTCGGATTATCAACACGAACCTATTGACGTTTCCTTTTTCTTGTTTCTTTTTTCCTTTTTGTGTATGTATTATATAAAAATTACTGTTAATGACTGAGAAATATACAGAACTTATTTTTATTTTGTTACATTTCGTATATACATAAATATATCTATATCAAAATGTTTACAATAATATTTTAAATTTGTTTCTATTTTTACTTTTCCGAGTGATTTTAAGCGAATGAAGAGCTGGAAATCCAGATGATGTTGCAGAGGAGAGCGTCTCAGTGCTATCTGCTTGTAGTCTAGTTAGTAGTTTACAGTATTGATGATGATTAATAGTATTGATAGCTGCCGTTAAACTTAGTTGAAAGTGGAATGTGCATCAAGAGCATGTCTTCATCATTTACCGCCATTGTGGATCTTCACTGCAACTGTAAAAAGGCCAAGGATTCAAGCTGCCTGTCATGTCTGTACACCACCAAAATTAAGAACGGTATACTATTAAGATGTATCTTCGATTATCTATCTCTAATGCATATTGTTCAAAGCTGTACCAACGGTTCAAAGTATTTGCTAATTTTACTACACTTTTGTTATGTATATGTGTAGGAGGAGTCTTAAGGCATATAAATTCTTCAAATTAAGTCAGGAGTTTAAAGCAGACTATATTTTATAATGGCCTTTTAAGTTATTGCGGCCAAAGCACTGATATTATATATTTGCTGTAAAGAGAATTTTAAGAGTTTTATTTTTCTGATATTAAAGTTACGTAATAAAGACGGTTTCATTTTAAGCCACTTCAGATTCCTGTTTTTATTATTTTTTTCTTCTTATAGTCATGTTGTGTTCCGGGTAACTGAAAATCCCAGCAGAGGATTAAACCTGGATTAAACGTAAGATTACCTCCCTCATGAAGTGCAGGGATGTTGAGAGTCGGGTCTCTGACTTCATCGAGGTCGACCTCGAATAAAACTGTCCATAAAGTTGTTTCCAGACTTTATTCTCTCTCTGCGCTCCAGTTGGAGTGCTTTGGTTTCATCAGTACGATTCAGAAACATCCGTTTTGTTTCTGATGAAGCAGGTTGTAATTTGGTCGGTCCACACAAGTTTCTGGCTCTATAAACTTCATCAGTCTGAACATCCAATGATCCACCGATTCATCAGCCTGCTGTCCTGTTGTCCTTCTGTCCATTTATCAGTGCTCGTCTTTTTCAATCTGCTCATCCATCCTTCCTGTTGGTCAGTCTTTTCCTCGTGTCCCTTTCGTCACCTTTCCATTTTTACCTCCACCTGTTTTTCCATCAGTTTTTCTGGCCATGTTTGCCGATCTGAGCTTTCATCCATCCAAGTAACCATATGTCAATTTTTCCTTCCATCTTATTCCATTTACCTTTTTATCAATTTATTTCAGTCCTCATATCTAGGTCTATCTAGTTGTACCTTGTTTTTTTTTTGCACATTCCTAAATATTACATCTGAATGTCTTGAATTTACAGCAAAAAGAAGAAACTAATAACAAAAGAGAAAATAAGAATTTCTTTTAAAAAAAGCCGTAGAAAAAAGCGTAAAAACCTCAGATTAGAGACCTGAATGTTTGAAATGCAGCTACAGCCAGTGAAGAGCCTGAGCCTGACCACTTGTTTAAACTGTTAGTCACCTCAGTGAGCGCCTCATCTTCTGACATCGATTAAAAAGAAAAAGTCTCAGTAAGTGTTACTAAAATGGGAGTAAAATGCTGTTAGTTCATAGAAGAGGTCTGACTCCCTGCTTCCAGCATGTTGGACCCATGATGTTAACAAAATGTCCTTTTCAAAATGAGAATTCACATTTTATTCTACATAATTTGTCTTGAACACATTGGCAGACACTACAGTGAATGTGAATCTCAATCAGAAAACACTTTCATTGCAAAAGTGAGTGTTTTGACATTCAGTTTTTATTTACCGTTATATAACAGTATGTTTGCCATTACATTGTTTTATATTTCAAGCTTTTATTTCTGATCATACTGATGGTGGCTTACAGCTAATGTAACAAAAATGTGTAGTTATAGTTGACCATCTTTTATTTAGTTATTGCTGCCTTCATTTTATTAGCGCAATAAGTTTAGAAAATGGAAGGAAGAAATTCTGGACCATGAGACATTTCTCCACGCCTTGTTCTAAGATACTCTTAAAAGACAATTTCTGATTTTTCATGGTTTCTTTTTAACTGCACATAACCTTGACCAATAAAGCTGTCACTCTGATTCTGGAAAAAAAGAAAAGATCTTTAAAATTACAAATTTGTCATTGATTATATGATAAACTATATACTCTGGAGGAAGTGAAAAGTTTAGTTTCCTTGTGGCGCCACGGTCATCCAAATTAAAAACAAAGGTTTCAAACGTATAACTGTAAATGACTGAAGTCTGCCTTTTGGATTGAAGTACTGAAGCAGATGAACGTTCCTCTTTAATTGTTAAAATGCAACTTCAAAGTTGTGCATTACTGCAACAACACAACATGTGAACAATTCAATTCAAGGTGGAGACTCTCAGAAACTCGCTCGCGATGAGAGAAAAATCTCTCCCTTACTTCGTAAGAATTGACGTGCAGAGCTCCAGGAAGTCTTCTGCCACTTTTCTGCCCAGAATATGAAGGTTTTGTTCTATGAATCAAGAACAAAATGGGAGCATTTGGTTAAATGTCTGGGCTTGTTGTAGCAGAGACTCCAACCTTAGTTACTGTAACAAGTCTACATGTATTCTGCTAAGAGCTCATCAAGAATGATGGGATGTTTTTTTCCCCATAAATCTGCAGTAATAATGTGATGACAGGATCTTTTTCTGACCGAACACACATTCAGGGGGATTTCAGTTCAACGTTTCTCACAGGAGTGTGTGTCTGGACTTTTAGTGACATTTCTCCCACTCTCTCATGGTTGTCATAGCAAAGCACTCCCCCCCTCCACCCTCACTTTTCATATAATTGTCTAAGGAACATAAACACCATAATGTTCACTCAGTGGGCTGTTATGAAATACAGAATGATGCATTACATTTAATGGGTGTCACTGCAGCTGGAGCTTTAATATAAAACCCGCATTGTGACGAAGAATTAGTTTTGGAGCACTGGCTCGATGACAAAAAGAACAGGACACCATATGGAGAAAAGCAGTCCACATTTAATCTCTCACATGAGAAAAGCAGGTACAATTAGATCTGAAATAGTAGTCAACACTTAACTCACCCAAGCCGTCTTTCGGCTGCTACACTAACTGCAAATCATGTAAAAAAACAAAACGAAAAAAAATATATATTTTTCACCTTTTAAAAGCACACTTTTAGATTCGATTCAGCATGAACTCTCGGCAGAAAACACGCCGCTTCCTGCACTTCCACCAGAAAAAAAAAACCCACTCAGGACTGGACAGTGACGGGCTGACTGGACGACACGACTGGAATCACCGCGAGCAAAACGCTGCTGGTCAGAAGAACACGGCGAATTACGGAAAACGTTCAGGACCAAAAGTGCCACTGATCATTTACATAAACTATGAAATTTGAGCAAATTGTAATCAATTACAGAAATCATTTAAAACTGTAATTTATCGTTTGCTACAATTATATACTGTGTGAAACTATAAATGCATAAATATTTCCACATTTAATTATGCATTTACTAAATGACATTTTGATGTAGATTTTTAAACATGATCTAAATGATCAAATATTCATTAAATTGCAGCAATTTTTGGCCCTTGATAAATGAAAATAAACGAATATTTTGACAATTAACTTCAGACAAAAAAGCCTAAAATTGGCCAAAAGGCTTTTAAATTCAATAATTTATCTTCCTTCGAAGAGAAGTAACATCTTGCTTGTCTTTTAAACTACTAGACCACAAAGCCTGTGCAAAATTTGGATGTTAAACAGCACAGATTAAAGGTGTGTCTGCTTTAATGTTTAATTTAAAGTAAAAAGAAGCCAAACATGGTCTGGATGTGACTTTATGTGCCGCTCCTGCTGAGTGCAACATCACTGATCTGCAGCAACTTCGATAACTTAAATGGGAAAAAGTGTTTCATACAAAAGTCTGCAAGCATTTGAAAACCAAAGATGTCTACATAGGTTTATGAGGACAATAGGAAAAAAAAATAAAAAGTTCAAATGATGAAAGGTGAAGGGTTGAAAGTTTAAGTGTTAAATCTGAATCCAATGTTCGGTTTGTAATCTTTAACTTGTTCTCAACTGACCTATTCGCTCCTTTAGTCAAAGGTAAAGTGCTACAAATGAACAAATAAACCAGAAAAAGTAGGAAAAAAAACAACAACAACAAAATATGTAACAAAGGCTGAGCACAGGCTATAAATCCTCTAATTGTTTTTCTGTCAAGCTTCACACAGTAAACCTGGATAAAGTCTGAAGGAGGAGTGCAGCTGTCAGGACTCCAACCCTTGTGTCAGATATGACTGGAAACAGATTCAAATCAGGACTTCCTGGACTTTCCTCTGTTTAATCTTTACAACAGACTGTTTTCTTTCCTCAGAAATTGTCACTTGTGGTCACCAAAGAAACACAGATAAACCTCAATCTTTGTACTGAGATCAACATCAGTCTCTTCTCTGCTTGATTGCGTCACTCCCGCATTGAACAGAAGAGTTTCTCTCCCGCTGAGAAGGTAAATAACCCAATCTCTGCGGTGGAATAAAACAGAAGCTTCTTAAAAATAATTGTGTCCGTGACTAAGAGTCGGCAGGCTGTCAAGTACGGCGTTTACATGTGGTCAGGAGTTCTTTTGAGGGAATTTGACTCAGGAGTGACACAGGCTGCCAGCTGGAAAATTACGGCCTTGCCAAAGTATTTACACCACATTTTTTCCTGCTGCAACCGCAAACTGCAATAAAATTAATGGTGATCACATGTAATACAGCACACAATGACTGTGGGAATAAATAACAGAAGTCAGTGGACTCAAAGCATTTGCATTCGGCCGCTTTTACTCCATCGCGGTTCAATGAAATCCATTCAGAGCACATTAAACAGCTCAGAGATGAAGCTATAAGCAAACGAATTCCCATCCAACAGAGCTCAATCCATTTTCTAAAGAATGGAAAAATGACACCTGGAAACCCAGACAAGGCACTGCAAGGAGAGCAACAATCAGAGAAACTCTTTGGATGATCTGCAGATCTCTTCACAAATCTGGTCTGTAAGGAAGAGCGGCAAGAAGAAAAAGCCTTTTCGCAGTTTTGCCACAAGCCATGTTTGTAACAGAAGTTGCTTCGTTCAGATGAAACTGAGACCAAACTGCGTCAACAGCCTACAGGCAGCGAGGTGGAAAACCTCCATCGCCACCGTGAGGCATGGCGGTGGCATCATCATGCTGTGGGAACGCCCGTATTCAGCAGTGACTGCAAAGCTGATGGGAGTCAAAGCATATTCCTGTTTTTAAATGGCCTAGTCATAGTATCTCATCATAATACACAATCATTACCTGTGAATATTAAAAACAATGCAGAAAACATTGCTTTCCTCTAGGACACAAAACACCTGGGTTGAAATTAAAAATGTGATCGTAATCTAACAAAAATTCTAAGAAAAATAAATAAATCAACAACCAAGTATGAATACTTTTGCAAGCCACTGATTTTGTGCACACAGAGCAGGAGTTCAGCTCTTTGTCACTTATCTTGTTCAACAGAGACGATGGAAACAGAGACTTGTCTTCCCAGCAAAGAACTGAAGTTTATCTTATGAAAAACAAAAACAAAAAAAAATACAAACAAAAAAAACAAACCCTTTGACAACAGCTGACCTGGACGTGTTCAGACGCGTCTCGACTCCAGTGGCTGAAACTCTGCATCAGATAAGAGCGGCTCTCTCTGATTGTTGTGTTGATCTCCCACATCCTGTCCCGGCCGCTTCTGGCTGCCAGGAAGTGATCGGCGTGACCTTCGCCTCTGCAGCTGCGGGTTTGAAGCCATCCTCGGAAAAACGCACGCAGCTCCTCGACGGTTCAGTGAGGTCGGAGGTCGTCAGTAGCTGGTGTCCTTTATGTGCGTGTTGGTGTATAGTTTCTACAAAGTCCTACAGTTAAAGCCATGCATTAAACGAGTTTTAATAGATGGCTTTGGCTCTTGTTGCTGTGAGCAACAGCTGGAGCCTTAGTGCAACGCGACGCCTCGAGCACGCCTGAAAACATTTGTCTATTTATCATTACTTTTTTACCGTCCGGAGTTCACTGAGGAAGGCGAGTCGCTGGCCGTGTGTGTTCGGGCGAGGACCTGCAGCTGGAGGGTCTCAGTCCAGAGGCTGGGGGTCAGCGATGGGCATGGTGTGAAGGACCTCGTCCAGGAGCTGCAGGGCCCGGTGCAGGTGGATTTCGATCCAGCACGGGGTCTCCTTGATGCTCTGCCGGGGGTAGTCGGGCCCCCAGCCTTTAACAAAACTCATCCTGAGAATGCAGAGCCGTCGGAGGTCATCGACCCCAATGCCGGCGGCGGCAGAGAGACCTGAGAGGAGAGGAGGGCAGCGTGAGCGGCGGCTCGGCTCAGATTCACAGCCACAGCTCTGTAGCGAGTGCCGTTTGTTACGCTCAATCGTGAGAGCGCTGCACTTAAGAAAGCATGTTCGGTCCATTCACAGCAACCTCACAGTAATTCACAATATCAGCAAAAATTTGTATTGATTTCAGGAATTCAACTCAGAAAAGAAAACATGTCCTGTATAGTTTCATTAGATACAAATTTATTTCTGTTGTGATGGTCGTGAAATTCAGTACCAGCAACATGGGTGTCAAATATTAGAAAATACTGATAGTGGGTTTGTAGGTATGAACAGAGCAATAGCACTGATTGCTACAGGTTTTCCTCTCCGTTCCAACCTCTGGTCATTTTTTAACACCATCACAGTCAGGATAAGAAACTCCTGCTGAGAGATTAAATCCAGATTCAGTGATGCACTAATCACACAGTTCGTTGGAATATCAACAAACCGGCACAGCAAAGAACAGATACTGCAAAATCCTAAGACCAAACAAAAGACAACATTTAATTCATTTCATTTTCTTTGAGGTTTTGTTCACAGTAGGCTTCCTGAACACTCAGTCAGTCACCTGACATTTCTGTATAATGACCATAAATACTCATGTTATATTTTATTTGCAATTTCTCAGACTGTGAATTTGAGCTTTGAGGCTGGGGCAGTTAAAAAAAAAATCATCTCGGAAAAGATACAAAAAATTCTTCAAAAGATGGAAAGAACAATAAAAAGTACTCCTCTTATCATTTCAGTGTCATGTTCATTGTGACATTGATAAACATTCAGTATAAACAGAACCACAAACATCCAGTGACGTTGAGCAGTGAACAGAGCAGACTTGGTTACATCCATTTAGTAAACTTGTCTGAATGAAGCAAGATTTTTAAAGAACGAGTGACGCACGTCCTGATCTTGTTACTGAGAATAAGACACTAAAAACCAGATAAAGAACATGGACATTAAGGATGTTTTGTTTCAGATCTACACTGATTTTTTTTCCCTTTTTCTAAAGAAATCAAACTTCTTTGTTTTATTAAATACTTTGTTGTTTATAAAAATGTCAGTAAAAGTCAAACACTTACTTAAAAAAAAATTTTTAAATTAACTTTCATAAACAAAAATGAAAAAAAATCTAAATTCTTTGGCTCTTGGTTGGTTTCAACTTGACCATTTTGGCCCACATGGTAAAACATTTTGTCGTGGAAAAAGCTTAAATGTCTCTTACTGATAGCTGGAGCGATTCCTCCGACCGATCCAGGACCAGGTATGTTCCCCGCCACAGCAGCCGCCTGAGCAGCCGCCGCCGCCTGAGCCGTGGCGGCCTGCTGCTGCATCTGTCTGTGGCACTGACGGAGGTCGAACACCTGGAGGGGACGGGTGGCGGTCTGAGTACTTGTGTTGTAGACTCAAAAGGTTCGGCGTGGCGGCAGAGGATGTCTCACCTTGATGTACGCACTGGGGTAGATCTTGTGCACGGCGTCTCCTGGGGCTCGGCCCGCCTCTCGGTCCAGGTAGTAACTCTGAACAAATACTGCGTGGTCACTGAGGCATCGCACCCACACGTCTCCCTCTCCTTTACACTCCAGCTGGACGCCTTTGCCGATGTGAAGCCTGAGGGAAAAGAAAAAGAGGGAAAACGAGGCGTAAAGGAAACAAAATAAACAGTTTAAGATGCTTCCTGCTGGGGCTGCAGACAGAGATGATTTAGTAATAGATTAATCGGATGAAAAAACTAACTGGCACAATCTGCAGATTTTTTATTTAACCACCCAGGTCTTTTTTAGACAACATTATAAATACATTAAAAGATGTAAAACACAAAATAAATATTTTTGCCATAATAGTACTTTGTCTTTTAGTGCCGGCAAAAACCTGGAAAGTTCTGAAATCACCTAGAGTCTCACCTCGCTCTCTCAATAGCCTCAGTACGATGGACGTTACTGAGCTGGCCCAAACAGAACCGGTCCCCTCCGGAGGGGTCCACGTAGCCGTCCACCGTCACAACGGGGCAAGAAGACGGCACTTTAAATGTCTCCCCGACTTGGACGTCCATCTCGAAATAAGCAATGGAGCACCAGTAGTCAGGCGCTGAAGGGCAGGACAGAACAGTCAGCTCATCAAAACACACTCGAAAACAAAAAAAATAACATTGTTTTACACTGACAGGATTTATTTATACCTGGATGATTGGATATCGGAGGCTGAAAGGCGAGCTCGTTGTGTACTGGCCCTGAAAGGAAAAACACATCGCAGTTTTTCAAAGTAAAGAAAAATTATGAGACAAATTGACTGACGAAGGCAAAGCTTTAGCTTAAAGTTACAGTAGTGAGTTGGATGTGGCATTGGGGGGTGGTGCTGCAGATGACCGTTGGTGTGGTGAGGTATGCTAGGGGGGAAGCCACTGTTCCTGGACCAGTTGGAACCAGCACCTGGAGGAGGAAATACAGATGGAAAGGTAAGAAGAATCTACATTTCCAAGCAGACCAAGGGGAATGATTCGCAACCGCCTTACTGCCTGATCCTGCAGGGATGGCAGGGAAGGACTGCGCGGAGACCGACGAGGGCACCTCGACGGGCGGAAGCAGGCCCGGGGTCGGATACGGCTCCGCCTGCGGCGGGCGGCTGCCGGACGGGGGGTGCTGGATGGTCTGGAGAGAGTGTCCGCCATCGACAGTCGGGAGAGTCGGGGGCGCATCAAAGTCGTACTCGTCTTTCACGATCAGCGAGGAGCTGGGTCCGGAGCCGGTTAGTGTGAGTCCTGAGAGGTCTGGAGCGACAGAACGGAATATGAGCTGCTGAAATGAAAACGAATCTGAAGGATTGACTGGAGGCAGGAAGCCAAACTGGATTGAAATGATCACAACAAAGTGGGTTTCCTCCTTTAAAAACACTCCAAACACAGATCTCCTTCATGTTTTTTAAGAACAGTAGCTGGGAGCACTAGTTTAAATTTAGCCTGCAAAGAGATGACGTTTTGATTGAGGTCAGAGGTAGGACCTACAATTTCATCGCAATATTTTGCGGTAGTTTGGTAATGATAAAAGTTATGATAAAAAAGTATGTATTACTTCCTTTTGGGAAACCCTAACCCAGCATTCAAAGCACCACAATGATTCTGATTTTGAAACCATTTGAAACAGGCTTCTTCAGGACACCACTTGCTAAAAAAAGTGTGATTGAAATGTTCACAGTAACTGCATTTAATCACACTCATAGTTTCATATTTACTAATATTTATTGATGCTGTCATGGAACAAACAGTAGAGAAAATAGTAAAAAAAAATTTGGGCACTTTCACTTATGCTTTGTTTAATTAAATGAAACTAAATCTAAATGCTACCGTGGCTCACCTATGCCAGGGGACACCACTCGTTCATAGTGATAGGGATTGACACACACGCTGTCACACTTCAGATCAAAGGCAAACTGGCAGTATTTCACGTGCTTCAGCTCATTCTTGTGCAGGTCCGGCCATCGCCAAAGCCGAGCGTAGATCACATGAGGGAACCCTTTACGCCCCGCAACCTGAAGACCATCAGAGAAGCTTGGCATTAGATAATGGCTGACAACCTCGTTTTGTTCACTAAACTGAAGTAGGAACCAACTATGTCCAATGCCCTGCACAGCTGGAGTACGTTAGCTGTTACTCGGGCAGTTTGGGTCTACCTGCAGTCGACCATCCAGAGTCCTCTGGATGGTCACACACTTGCTCGGGTGGGCGCCGTTTGTGGTGATGGCCGTGATGAGGGAGTCCAGCTCGTCTTTCTTCTCCTTCAGCTTCTTCACCAGGCTCTCGATGGCTCGTTTGGCAAATGTCTCACTCTCGCCGCCCTGCCGGTGACACATCAGGCTGTGCACGATGCTCAGGCACGCATCGTTGCTGGTGGGTGTGCTGGCGATGGACATCTTAGCCGGAGGTTCTGCCGCACTTCCTGAGAAAAACAACTGGGCCGCGCGTCGAGGGCTTCACATCGTCTTCTGAACATTTCGCAGGCAGGGCAGAAAAATAATGCAATTAATGAGAGACTGAGGATGCACATTGGCTTATGCTACAACCTGGTACAGAGTGAGAAATGGTGACATTTGAGTAGTAAACCTTTCCTTTGTAAATAAAGTTTGTTATAACGCCAAAGCATTTTTTGGAAGTTGTGTGACTTCAGATCTCTCACGCTCCGAGGAGATATGTGGCAGAATCTATGAGAAGGAGATTTGAAACTATATATATATATACACAGTCATTTCAGAGCAGTTGTTATTAGGCTGTAGTGTACCATACATGTTTTCATAGTTTGCATTGTTTTCTTTGAACAAATGTAAAAGTTCAGCTCAAACTTTATTATGGCTAATTTGTACAACAAAAGATTTTTTCCCCCATAAATGACGTCACTGATTCTTTAATGTAATCAGTCTAAAATAAAACTACTCATTTCTTAAAGAAAAAATTATATTTAGAAATCCACTTTTTTTATCTTTAGGAATGCTTAAAGTCTGAAAACACAAACGCTTTTCCACACTTGTGGTAAAATTCCATACTTTCCATGCTTCCGTAGGAAAAAGATAAATAAATGTAAAGCGTCTAATTTCAGCTACAAAGCAGGTTAACCAGGGTCACAGGTCCTATTTTGACTCAACACTAATGTCATCACTTCAACACATCAGTCGCTCATACAGAACATAGAAAAAGAGCAGCGATTCTTTAAATAAATCACAGGTTTGTGTCGAGTCTGAGCGGCGTGCAGGAGGCACGAGCGCTTCTCTGCAACTCTTTCATTTCCATTTATAAGATAAACTAGGATAACGCTGGCTCACCGTCAAATACATGAGGACGACGGGGAAATCTGCAGGTGAGGGCGATGTTTGAAAAAACCTAATATGCCTTCGGTAAACAAAAAAGTTTCGGCTGTCTCGCTCATTTGCTTACTAGCGGCGCCAGTCTGGCTGGCGTTTGTTCGAGGGAGGAGGACAAAGCTGCTGCGCGCAACAGATCCGCAGCGGAAGTCTGGATGCGTCCCCTTCAAAATAAAAGAGGAATCGCTAGGAAAGCCTTTACAGGAGGTTGTTTTCTGGAAAAAGAAAAATGACTGAAGAGGCGTTTTAGTTATTGTGATATGACTTTCTACCCAGGGTGCCACATGATGAGGGAAATCCATAGATAATTTCAAAATGGAACAATTTACTTCTCTTTGTTTATTAGAAACTCCACACAACAAAATAAACACAACTACTATTATAATATTAAAGTAACTACTATTGTAAATTATTTAGGTAAATATTCAAATAATTTCTGTTTTAACATTTGCTTGTTAAAAACTTGTATCATTGACTCAGCTGTGGCTAATTGACGTTGGTCACGTCAACTTGATTTTATTTTGAAAGGCACATCAGGAAGTAGCCCCGCATTAAAACGTCCAGCTTAAGAGCGCAACTACCTGCTACGAAAACATCAGCTAGCACATCTGAATGTTGGTAGCAGAGTAGCTAAGCAGTAGCAGACATTTTATTTATAAACCAGTTCAACTCCGGGGAACCTACCTTCAAAAAGTAACTACTTGTTAGAAAAGTCAGCCGGTAAATCCTCTGATGCAACTGTCGCGCACATTCCAGACATAATGTTTTATTTCATGAAAACAAGCAAACTGATGAAAGTACCTGAATCTCCCGGAGCGGCGGCTTGCAGGTGAAAACTGCCTCTGTCCCACGTTGCCCTCCCAGCGGTGAAACTGCACCAACCTTGTGCACACTCTGGCATCTCTCCCAAACTTCTTCACAAAAACACGAGGGCAAACTTCAGCTGGAGAACATTTGATCTCAACATCCCGTGAAGAAAAGAAAGGGCAGGATGAAATCTCAGGATTTTTGTTGTTGTTGTTATTGTTGTTAACTCCCACTTCCAATTCTCGTATCATTTCCCCCAATGGCGCGTTGCGCATGCGTCAAGCGAGCCACAGGTTTGAGAAGCAGTTCGATTTTGATTTTGGCCTACATCAATCTTTTTGTCTGAAATGTCGCTGATTAAAGCAAGAAAGTTGGGCAGAGACTGATTTTTAAACCTTTGCTGACAAAAAAAGTCTTGTTCTGTGTATATCAGTTCATCAACTTTGCTCTCATTAGAGCTATTTAAAAATAAACATAAAAAAGATAAAATAATCTCCCCCTCTCCTTTTCTCTCAGTGTCTCTTATCAATTAGGAGGGCACCCTGTTAACCGGAATTTATTTATGGGCTTCAGGGTGAAGGGGGCACGAATGCACAGCATGAACCTGGCGTGACCTATATGTAAAAATTACATGTGGCTGACCAAAACGAGAAGATTAATTTCATTTTATAGCTTTAGGTAAACTTTAAATTCTGATATTACATGTTAGAAGAGAATATTAAATATGTCTTGCACATCCGATGTGGCGGAACATGACAGTTTTATTAAACCTGCTCCACCACAGATGCTAATTTCACAGATTATTTCCCCTCTGTGGATAATGAGCCGCTAATTACAGAGTTCAAATCAGATGCTGCAATGTTTGCTTCGGAAGAAAAGGAGGCATGTGTTTATCCTTTATTTGATCCTCTCCACATTAATGAGAAGACTAGAAGCTTTTTAAGCACGTTCACACACACACACACACACACACACACACACACACACTCGCACACACATTGAAATTTAAATGCCCCACTGATTACCAATTTGTACCAATTACAGATGTGCCGATTACCCACTGTCAAGGCGCACAGTGATGATTTATTATTAGCTTCAGCAGCTAATATTGATGCAGTGCCCCCATAATTTGATTTTAATTGTTTATAATTTTTCTCTTTGTTTCTGTTTCTCACCACTCCCTCGTTCAGATCACTTTTCTTGGTTCTTTTCATCATAGATATCTTTCAATGAGAGATAGAAGGGACCAAAAATGAATACTTGTCATCTCCTTCATATGCATATCAATGGTACTTCATTCATCACTAGCATTACCAAATTTATTGCTCCATACATTTCTTCTGTCTTAATTAACTATACTGTGCTCTTTTTTTTTGGTATTATTTCAGATTAGTTTCGAATCATCAGATGTTGGAAAAAAACTGCAATCAGAACTTGAACTTCCAATTCTAAAAAAGAAAAATATTTCATTTTGTCACATTGTATAAATTTAGATACTAATAAAATACTGGGTGTAATAAAATGGAAATATGAACTGAATGGACAGCAATGGAGTATTTTCTATATCGACCACCAGAGAGCAGTAAGAACTAGGACTAAAGACTAAAGGGTTTGTATTGGCTGACTTCAGTGTAAGATACAAAAATAGAGATATCTGGATATGGCAGAAACATCAACAGAGTAGTTTCTGTTTAAAGGAAGAAAAGTAGGAAAGAAGTCCCCTAAAGATAGTAAAATTACTATACAACTCCAGAAAAAGTTCAAAGGATTTAATTTATAAAACCTTTTTTGCAGAATGTGCTTGGATGCTTTGCTATGTGCTCTTGAACAGAAAAAAGTGTTAGTTCCCCCACCGAGCCTTTACCTCAGGGCTGTCAACATTTATCTGTGAACATTTACTGGATGGATGGATTTATGTTGTAATCGGTCACAAAGAAAGAGGGATAGGTTTTATTCTGGTTTATTCTTTTGTACACTGCAAAAACATAAAATCTTCCCAAGTAAGTTTGGTGAGGTTTCTAGTACAAATATCTTACTACATTTGAAATAAGAGAAAACTAACTTATGTGTATTTTTTTAGCAAAATATAGAAGCTTGTTTTAAAGCAATAATTCCTTAATATTGATAAAAATGTTGGCGGATTATTTCACGTTTAACAAGACATTTTCCCATGTTTCCTATGTCTTCTTCTTTGGTCTAATTGTGACTGTCCACAGAGCGTGTTTACAACTTGAGGAACACCATTTATTTGACGTCAACATATGCAGTTTGTGGTATTCTTGCAGGGTTTTGATTTGGTGTCACTTGCAGTAAATATAAGTCGCTCCAGTAATCTGCAAGTTAGAGAGACGAAAGCAAAAACAAAACAAAGAAAAAACAAACAAAAAAACAGAAACAAAAGGTTAGAACCTCAGCCAATGTCCCCAACAACATTACTGAAAAAAAGTCATTTATGGTAAGTCATTCAGAGCTAAAAAGGAATAATTTAAATTACATGTACTTGTTAGAATGGTCTAAACATACCAGATGTTTATCCAAGAAATATTGAAAGCTATTTTGCAAAGAAAAACTGTCAATCACAAAGAAACAAGGCTGTCGTTCCAGTGGTAGGTATACGGTTCTGTAAAATAATTGACTCTATGGGACTGAAGACAAATATAGACCTTTCATATTTACTTTGGAAAGCAATGTGTCATTTTACTTCCACATGTTTTTTTTGCCACACAAACTGCCATTAAAAAATAGTTTTTTCATGTTAAATAGTGAAAAGGGACATATTTTTGAACATCATCCATGTCTGAATATCCAAACCTTTGTAACTGATTCTATATATCTATCTATATATATATATAAATATATAACTGGTCAGAGGGAGTTGACAATGGTCTTGTGGTGGGAATCTTTTAAGTGACAGCTCACTGACCATCCAGATGTCCTCCCTCTGAGGCGGGCTGTTTGCTTTACTGTAACATGATGCAGGCACTTGCAGATTGTGGACCAGCTTTAGATTCTACTGTCTGATGAAAAATGTTGGGAATAAATGAATGTGTGGTTTCTAAAAATATGAAACAGCAGTGGTCTCCTCTGTCCACTGGATTGTGTTTTCCGTCCGCCCACCTATTCATCCTAAAATGGTGCCCACATTTTCTGCTTCCCCTTGTTCCCTCGCCACCTTTGAACTCCCCACTCCTTCCTTTGAATCCACATAAATGAATGATGGATTAAATCTGAAATCTTTCCACCCTGCTGGTATTCAGGAAATTGTCCTCCGTGTGGGAAGTGGATGCAGATGGAGGGATGAATTGATGTAAATGGAGAGATAAAAATGGGAGCCAGAGAAGGTTGGTCTGAGAGATGGGAGGTGTTTAGAAGATGGATGGATTGCTGGCGAACATGAGAGAGACAGAGAAGGGAAGAGATGGAAAACGGGACCGGGCGCGAGAGGAGACGAGTGAGCTGTCGGTTTGGAGATAAATCAGGGAGGCAGCGCGCTGAGGGGGGTACATGTCCACGAACGCACGTACAAACAGATGTGTGTTTCGCGATCACGCTTGAACTCACACAAGTGCAAACACAAACACGCACACGTACTCACTCGAGCACACTCTGCCCCACGGCAAAGTGGTAAAAGGCCACGGCTGATTGGGCGCTGCAGGCCAATTTCGCCCCGAGTGGCAGAGCGGTGCATGTTGGGATGTTGGGATACAAATGCAGTTATCCATGAAGGCATGAGGTAGGTCACCTCTTTTCGCTCCGTCTCTCTCATCCCTCACGTCCTTCTCAACCTTTTCTTCCGTACATCCTCCTCCGTTCTTATTTGTCTTATTTTATTTTATGCCTTCAGGGCTTTATACCTCCCCACCTCCCTTTACCTCCGTTCCTATCAATTCATCTTTAATATAGAGAGCATATTCTTCCCAGATGAAAACAGCAGCTCTTAGTTCCCCCTCTCTTTCTGGCTCACTTCATTTCCATCTGTCATCCATTCCTCTAAAATCTTTCTTTTCCAGCTTTATTCGCCCCAAGTCTTTTCCCCGGCAAGCCCTCTCTTATGCTAACACACACAAATGCCCAACGCAACAACACAGACGCACACACTTTGGATCCCTACAGTGTAGTGTGCTAACAGAATAATTAGTCCCGCTTGATGTCTCTGACAGCTCTAATCCTTCTAAATGGCCACCACATGCCTCCCCTCATCAGCCCATGGCTAGACACACAAACTGCACATGTTCAAACTTGACTCTGCACAACATACTTACAACTCTGGTGAAAAATATGGTGGATACATGTCTTT